AGATCCAAACCTATCAACAAAGGCTCTCCATGAATCCGTACTTAATTCTCCTTGTCATTTTTCAAAGATTTTGACATCAAACTACCTAATTTCTATCCTGCATGGTGACCTAGTCACCCAGGAATACTCCCACCACAAGACTTCATATCCAGCCTCAATGACCAACAACGTTAACAGGTGACCTTTTTCCTAACCTGTTGGGAAAATTTTGTCTTCTCATCTGAACAAAATCAGGCCAGTTAGAACAAGTAAGCACCAGGACTGAGAATGTCATTAAACGTTAGGCCACAACAATTTAATTCATTGGTTCTTGGATTTGTTCAGAAGAAATATGAAGCGACAAAGAAGAAATATGAAGCGACAAAGAAAAAACAGCCTTAGGTAGTAGGTGTATGATATTGATAAGTGTGTGATAGCCCCAAATGCTACAACAGGAGCTACATGTATGAAGTCAACATACATTGTACCAGAGTGGTTTGTAATTCAAACAATGAAGTTTAAAGGTTTTTATACAGAATCCAATTTTTTTCTGGCATATCAGCAAAAAATGTGGCTGGTATATGTAAGAACCAATTCATTAAATTGGTCTGGACTTAATATTAAAGTTAAGGGAAACATAATACCCGAGCTTCATGGTTGGGAAGCATTACACATACATACATCATCATCCATTGGGTATCCTTAATGTTTTGAGACATTTCACAGCTGCCGCTGCGCCGCGTGCCTGCGAAGCTGGTGTGTTACGCCGAAAGGTGGTTATACCGGCTATACAGATACAGATACAGATATTGGGGTCTGAATATATCCCAACATATGGAAAAGTAATATGATCACTATTGAAGGTGTATTTGATAGGCCAGTATTGGGGAAAAGTAGGCCACCTTACCATTACTGTTAACTTCTCTGGAATAGCCCTTACTCAATTGATAAGCTCTTTTAAGTAGAAGTAACAATTTTTCATGAAAGTAAAAAGATTGCATTAAAGATAAAGTCCACAGTAATGCATTTGCCATTGAAATATGACTATTCTACATGATTTGGACACAGGCTAACTCCATCTTTTCTTTTGACTGTGGCTCCATCGATCCTTGCCCTTGTCAACATGTATGTTTCAGTGCAATGAATGAATGAATATCAAATCCTTGTGTCGTACAAAATATGGTTTACCCTGCCAATATGGCCTTATGTGAAACTAATATCAATAACTTAATGCGAGTTAAACCTACAGGACTAGGATGGTAGTTGTTAACTTACAGTGATGTCCCTTAAGGACCGTTTAACCAATAAATGCCCAGTCTGATATGTGAAAAAAACCTCTATCCTCCAGCAAGCCTGAATTTAAATTCCCTCCTGCGCACCTGTTAAACCGTATAAACCTGTTAAAGTCAGAGCAAGAACTAGGACGGTAGTTAAGTTATTAACTTACAGTGATGTCCCTTCCCGTTTAACCAATAAATGCCCAGATCAGATATGTAAAAAAAAACCCCTCCATCCTCTAGCAAGGCTGAACTTAAATTCCCTTCTGTGCATCTGTTAAACCTTATTAGTTACTATAAGTCAGAGCTAGACTTAGGATGCTACAATGTTAGTTAACTTACATGTACAGTGATGTCCCTAACCGTTAAACCAATAAATGCCAGTCAGATATGTAACAAAAAACTCCATCCATCCTCCAGCAAGCCTGAATTTAAATTCCCTCTTGTGCATCTGTTAAACCTTATTATTTATTATACATGTAAGTCAGAGCTAGAATTAGGATGGTACAATGGTAGTTAAGTTGTTAACTTACAGTGATGTCCCTTACTGTTTAACCAATAAATGTCAGATATGTAAAATAAAATCCCTCCATCCTCTATCAAGCCTGAATTTAAATTCCCTTAGAACTGTGCACCTGTTAAACCTTATATATAAGTCAGAGAATTAGGATGGTAGTTAAGTTTAAAGTTGTTAACTTACAGTGATGTCCCTTACCGTTAAACCAATGAATGCCAGTCAGATATGTAAAAAAAAAAACTCCATTCTCCAGCAAGCCTGAATTTAAATTCCCTCCGGATCCTGTGCATCTGTTAAACCTTATAAGTCAGAGCTAGGATGGTACAAATGTAGTTAACTTGTTAACTTACAGTTATGTCCCTTACTGTTTAACCAATAACGCCAGTCAGATATGTAAAAAAGAAAAAAAGTCCCTCCATCCTCCAGCAAGCCTGAATTCCCTCCTGCGCATCTGGTTAATTTTATAAGTCAGAACTAGAACAGTAGTTAAGTTGTTAACTTACAACGATGTCCCTTACTGTTTAACCAATAAATGTCAGATATGTAAAAGAAAAATCCCTCCATCCTCTATCAAGCCTGAATTTAAATTCCCTTAGAACTGTGCACCTGTTAAACCTTATACATGTTGTATATAAGCCAGACCTAGAACTAGGATGGTAGTTAAGTTGTTAACTTATAGTGATGTCCCTTACCATTTAACCAATGAATGCCAGTCAGATATGTACAGAAAAAAAACCTCCATCCTCCAGCAAGCCTGAATTTACATTCTGTGCACCTGTTAAACCTTATAAGCCCATCGTCTACTCAGACGGAAGGAGGCCGATGAGAACTAGCATGGTAGTTAAGTTGTTAACTTACAGTGATGTCTCTAACTTACTATTTAACCAATAAATGCCCAGTCAGATATGTAAAAGAAAAAAACTCCCTCCATCCTCCAGCAAGCCTGAATTTAAATTCCCTGCCGTGCATCTGCAGCGCCGTGATTGGCATGTGATAATTAATCAATACGGCAGTCTGCGCAACACGCCCCGGAGCACGCTGCATCCAAATGCGAAAAGAGGCCACGTTAATAACATGTTGCAGACCATAAAAGGCAACCGAATCATCCGTTTTTACAACATTTGTCTTTTATAGCCATCTTTGGAGGAAGAAAGCGACGTTTATGGGGAACTGTGTGTTTTACCACTGTCAGGTAACATTGTCTGTGGGCTTTAAAATTCTAATAAACGGCCTGGCGCGGGTTCAAGCACCACACGGAGTCAGAACGGGAGGGGTTCACTGGGTAAAACATTGGTACAGATTTTTTTCATTCAGGTCTTTTTTTTTGCAATTTGCAATTTTTTTTTTGAAAATGTAGAACTTTATTCCACACAACTAGTAATTGTTTTGCTATTGTTAGAGGAATTGGATATATTTATACATATATATTCATTTCTCTGCATAGCCTCACGGGTTACCAAACCTCTAAATTTCTAAAATGTAACTGTCTCTTTTGTTCTTCAGAGAGGTTACATGTATCTTCTGAATTAATCAATTTGATTAAACAGGTGAATTTCACTGATGAAGGTTAGACATCCAGGTGAATTTGTTTTCTAGACAACACAGGCCATAAAAAAATTAAAATCCCACAAGCAATTCGCAAGGAATGTAACTGGCGTGCTCCAACCAAAATGTACATTTTGTAGTCAATCAAAAGGATAAATACTTCATTCTGCTTCCTTATGAGACCCTATTACTAACATAAAAATACAAACTGAAGTCTCATTTAGAAATAATGAGTCAATAAAATCAGAGGCATGACAGTCCAGGCCATACGATGACCAATTTCACGGCTGGACACGGCCACAGTTCACAGGTCTGTAAATACAGCGCACGTTCTGTGGTCAAAACAGATCATTACGATCCCAGTATGATTATGTCACTTTTAAATATCAGGCTGGAAAAAGGATACTTGACTTTTGAGTGGTACAATTTGAGATAAACTAGTACCGGTATTGAAGAATATGATCTAGATAATATCATCTTAATGCAATGAAAGTCACCTAATACAATGTGGTTGCGGTCCATAGAAACTACATTATATTTTCTAAAGCAGACTTGACAGTGCATGAATTTATTTTTGCTTAAAGACAGCTATATTTTATGATTGTAATATTGGAATTTCAGTTTTTAATTTACACATATAAAGCCTACAGAAAATGCAACTGTAGGAATAAAACTGTGGTATATATTTTCACCAATGGTTAAAAAAAATATAACAGATTCTATCGCAGAAAATAAATGACAGGTAAGGAATGACCAGGGACAGCTTGAAGCCTGCGAATTCATCACACTTAATGAGCACGTTCATCACCTTTCTGCTGCAGCAGGCAGAATACGCTATTAGGCCACACCAATTTAATTTCTTGGTCAACAGATTCACTTGTTCATTTTTTTCTGATTTGCCAAAAAAAAAATTCAGAATCAACTGCAAAATGCTCATATTTTGCCCTGAACAGTTGAAAACAGTCCTTTTCTTCCTAGTTGTTACAGTTATTCCATCTTTCAATGCAGTGGTATCATTAAGTTCAAAATTCATTGTTTAAATTTTGAACCTGCCTGGTGTGTTTGACTTCATGGCTCCTATCGTACCATTTGGCACCATAATAGGATGCCTAGGCCTGTTTTTATTTTATTTTTCCCCCCACCCGTTCCATTATTTTTCTAGAAAAATCCGTTAACCAAGAAATTAAATTGGTGTGGCCTTAACAACAGCCAGCAGCATCAGGAGGACTTCGTCAAGGGCAGTTGCCCAGCCTACTGGCATTTTCATAGCTTCTCCGGTAAATAAAACATCGTCTAGCCCTACCCCAAGCCTCTACCTTCACCCGCTGAATGCTTACAGAAAAATTTATATCGCACATGCATGCAGGTGGTACACACGCAGAAATGCACCTGTTTCTGTACAGTTATCTCATTACATATCATCCGGTAGTGACTACTTAGCATATGATAGACGCAGCACTTTTCTATGTGGGAAAATTATTCTACACAAGGCAGTATACAAGCTACAGTTGAATGTAGGGTCCCAACCCACAGCAAAAAGAGCATATACAAAAGCCATCAAGACCCAAGAGGGTCCATCCACTCTCATCTCAGATGGGCTACAAAATACGATCCAACAGATCACCTGTTTTAAGTACCATATTTCCAGCGGAAGAGAGCAGGAAACGGCTAAAGTGACTCACCTCTGGTGTACGCTGGGCCGGAGCTCACGCGAGGAGACCCTGCTGTAAAACCCAGTGCACAGGTACTGCCGCTGCATACCAAACACGGGCCGTGCCATTGTACAACAGGGGTGGGCCCTCTGATCATCAGGCTATCCGTATCAAACACCCCAGTGTTTTCCCATACATACCAGGTAATGAAGGTACAAGCTGTAACTGACTAGAGAGTGGGTCATGTATTTGGTAACGTAGCCTAGATTATTTGTTTGCCAGATTACCGGTACTGGCCACTCAATTTTCAAGGAAGTACAAAATGCAGATCGCTGGGCTGTATGATATGGTAATCAAACCCACATCCAGTCCCAGTTACATGTATAGTGAGGTGAGCATTCAAATTCTTTCCTCCATAAACCTATAGTTTAGGTTAAGTTTCATAAAGATTTTCAATAACCTAACATTTGATATAACATATATAAAAAAATTTTCATGTCCAAAGAGCCCTGCTATTTGCTGTGGATCCAACCAGATAAATTTGATAAAATACATGTAATTCTTTATTTTTGTCCTATCATATGCAAGATTTCTGAGAAAAATTCCAATCAAATATTAGAAAATGTTTGCCTCTTGTCAGATAAAAATACCTGACTTCTAGCACTACCCATGTTCAAATCCATCATCATGTATATACAATACTGTATACTGGAGAAGACACCTGTTACCACTTGCAGATAAAACAGACAAGATCAAAATTCCGATCATAAAATATGGAGCAGTAAAGTATGAGCTACAGCCTTGGTTTATGGAGTCGTATGTTTTCCATCTTCAGATAGAACATAAAACATAAAACATGGAACAGTCACCTGTCCTGTGCATAACCTTACTAGTACTCGACTGCAAGATGTGAAAGTTTTACATGCAAATTGGGGATGAAAAAGGATGACAGACTGAGACTAAGGCAGTTAAAATTTACTGATTTTCGTGTACACACCTTCCGATAAATACTACAAAATTTCATCTGCTAACAGTCAAAACAACACTTGCTAAGTCTACTCATACCATGTGTGTATTGTTTTACTAATTTCAGTGCCAATATTTGAAATTGTATAACAAACAAAAAAAAAACACCATCATGGACAGCAATGAAAAAAATGCCCTAACCCCCCCCCCCCCAAAGTCAAGATGGTTCAACCTTATTCCATGTTTGACAACATTCCGGTAATGACATATCATTAACCTTGAAAATGATGAATTGCTCAGTAAATACGGCACATCTCATTTTTGCAAATTGAGTCACATGCATGCCTATAGCTGCATCTACAATTCACACTCTCAAACCTTTCTTTATCAATATTTGCAGTAACATCTACATATTGTCTACCGGTTCTTTAAGTCTGAATCAAACTCTGTTTTCCCTACTAGAATGTTTGCCTATGGAGCGTATCTAATATGGTATCAATTTGATTAATTTGCATATCGCCAAGGGAACACCCTGACACCAAATTGGATGTACAGTTGACAGCAGGGACCTCAGGAGACCGCTAACATCCCAGGGACACCACCAGATTATTGTCTACATTTCCACATTTAAATAGATTAGCCGTCAGGGGACACCAAACGTTGTACAGACTGATACTAGGCCATGGAAAAACATCCTGTAGACTGGCACATAATGGAATGAATGACATGTACAACATTTAAATATGGACAATGATTTTTTTTCGACATATTGGATTTTATATGTTGTCTACTTTTGTTTCCTGACTGAATGTAATATGTATATGCTGCGTCCAGCCATTTTGTGAAAAAATAAATGAACGAAGAAATAGAACCTGTTACAATTCAAATCAATCAAATCAATCAAATCAAATCAAATAGATACAGTTTACACAAAGTGAGCAAAACAGTTTCATACCTACTACTTAACAGACTACTGTATACTCATTTCCCTTATGGCTAACTTCAAGTTCAATAGACATTCTGTCTACTTTAAATATTTGAAAGGGTTGCTTGAACTTGACTTCATTCAAAATATATCGATGTCATATGACCAACTGGGAGGATAAACCTTACTGTTTGAAATTGACTTCTATAAAAAAATATTGATAATTGAATTATAAATGTCATATGACCAACTGGGAGTCAGAATGAACCTGACTGTTCGAACTTGACTTCTATCAAAATGTATCGATGTTGAATTATCAATGTCACATGACCAGCTGGAAGGATGAACCTGACTGTATGAAAAAAAATGTATCGATGTTGAATTATCATTGTCACATGACAGACTGGGAGGATGAATCTGACTACAAGTGTTGAAATATGACCATGAGGACAGGACAGACAACTGGATTGATGCCTGAGATTTTGCAGGATTTCTGAGCCTCGCCTGAAGGTACAAATGTAGATAATACAAGTACAGGGGATGCTGCAGAGGGAAAAACCAGGGGCAACAACACATCACTGATTTTACAATACATACATCATTCATTCTCAGGTCACTGTGACAGTCTCTATGTCTTTACGGCTACTCAAATTCTACAAAAAGAAGTGAATGTTTCGTAACAATCTTTGTCGTATATCCTGGGGACAGCATCTAAAGCGATTTCAAGGCTGCTGCAGTAAAAACTGGATGCTTTCTGGTCTTTTTTTTCTGACAAAATGTGCTAAGAAATGGCCATAAATGTCACTATCAGCGAGATTCCTTCATCTAAAATATTTTTGTTGTGCCTCCCTGAAATTGAGTTGGATGCCTTTTTTAACACAATTTCAGGGTGGCACAACACAAAAATCTTTTCGAACATATATAAAAAACATATAAGAAATATATTTAAAACACATTCTGCAGAAAAAAAATTTCAGAAAACTCATGTACATATAATATTATACCTGGCACAGTATAGGAATGGCTGTAAACCATATCCTTTATGCCTTTATGTTTAAACATTACAGGCCATTAGAAATAAAGGGCCTGGTGGTAAGTGATGGCTTTAGCTATATGATCTCCTACTGATTAGGAATTCAGTGGCTAACCTCAGACCATAAATGGCAATACCTTTTACTGTTCCAAGAGCGGGGACCACGTCAGAAGTTAAGTCTGTTTCACCACTGACATCTAGACACTAGGAATCCTGATCATGTTATCCTTTGCATTGGGGTATCTTAAAAACATGAAATATGTGTCCAAAGTGGTAAATTTTATAACAACTTGAAACAAATCTTGGATAAATTCAGTGAAATTCAGACAGATATTGCAGCTGAAAATAAAATTTTATTGCTGTAACAGCAATATTTTGAACATACAACAATGTAGGCCATACCTACAATAATTGCCATTCAAAGTCAGCATACAAATGTAGATGATAACTTAATCCCAAATGTATAAACATGAGCAGTGGGGCAGAATAAATCCCTACGGTTTTCTCTCTGTGGTTGGAAAGATTTGTAGGTATGCAATCCAACCCTGGGCTACAATTTAGCTGCAATTTTCCTGGGAGAGAAACAGGATACCGCTCAAATATTGCGGGGAGGGGAGGGAGCTATATGAAAAATGTGTGCTGATGTGTTTTATCTATCACAGGAAGGGGGAAACCTTTAGTCACAGCAGATAACAGGGCTGGAAATACATTCGAGCTGTGCATATATTTCTGATGCCTACCTGCACTGGTCCATGTACTCCATGTATATGCATGTACTGGGTATATGCAGGTTAGTGCAGGAAATATTGGAGCTGTGCAGGTATTTCTGATGTCTACCTGCACCTAACCTGCACTGGTCCATGTACTGGGTATATGCAGGTTAGTGAAGGTAAAATTGGAGCTGTCCAGGTATTTCTGATGTCTACACTGTACCTGTACAAAACCTACACTGGTCCATGTACTAGGTTTACATGTATATATGTATAGATCATGTATGTGGCAATAGTTTCTAAACAGTTCGTACTTTGTAGTATGATCCATACTTCCTAAATTCCTAAAAGAGGGCTGCAGGTAAAAGGTAATTTTTACTTTCCAGACAAATACAAAAGTGTTATCCATTTTGACATAAAGTAATACAGAGATCCAACACACAGGCATAGACATTGCACTGTCCTTGGTGCTGAAATACCTTCCAGTGACATATACACCATCCATAACTGTCTCTAGTGTCAAAACTGGTATTAGAATTGGACAACAGGAAAAACTCTACCTGACACAAAGCTAAGCTGAGCCAAATCCCTCTGTCATGCCAACTTTTCTTCTCATACATTTTAACTGCCTCTTGTCATCTTTGTAGTAGATTTCTAGGGTTGTGATCTGCACTTTGCAAGAAAGCCTCAAGGAAGTTCCTGTCTTCCTTGGAATGATTTTCAGTTATTCATCACTTCCACATAGCAATCCCTTTACAATCACCAAAATAGAAATACAGTCATAAGTGATCATCTCACCAATGGTAATAGAATAAGGTAACTCAGACTGTTGTGTGCAAGGGATAAAGCTGAAATAACCACACGAAAGCAACATCTATTTTCTTTAGCGAGCAATACTAGAATTCAAACAGCAAATTGGGAAATTTCTGAAGTTTTGCCACCATGCCTTCTGCTTAAGGGGCCTGTATACTTTGCTGACATTTGAATTTGATTCACATAACGTGATTTACATGGTAACAGTGTAATCCTATCAAGTGAATCCAAAGCCATGCGAGACAGAACTTGAGGATGATACTCCCTTCCTGTTAGTAAGAATCAAGGGAACATAAGGTAAACTTCCCTATGGGGAGCATGTCGGCAGAACGTGCTGTGCCCTGCACGAAATCCGTAACGTAATGTGAATTGATGGAACCGTTCTAAAGGGAACAACGTGTGATTGCACATACGCTTAGTTTTTGTTAAGAACTATGGACAAGTGCAGAATGTATATTTTAAGGTTTATGTATTTAAGGATGATATTCCGGCTGTGATTTACACCAACATTTTAAACAATTCTCCATCTCCTAAAGTGAGAATATGAAAGCAAATATCCTTTCGCCACACTTTTTAACAAAAACTAAGCGTATGTGCAATCAAACATTGTTCCCTTTAGAACGGTTCCATCA